GTGGTAGTAGTAGTTGTTGTTTTAGTTGTTGTAGTACGGTATATATTGCCAATATAACATAAAGGGTTTTGGAGTCCCCCGGTCTTATTCTTGTTGGTTGAGGTACATAGGTTTTCAGGATTTGGGGTTTAGGGTTGGGGGTTTTGAGGTGAGGTGTATAGACGTCCAGAATTGGGTGTGTTTCGGGTTTGGGTTTAGGGTTGGGGAGGTTCCAGGGTTTGAGGTTGAGCGATTTGAAACCCAAAGCCCCATACCCGAAACCCTATCCCAAGGCTCCTGTACTTGAGGGATTTGAAACCCAAAGCCCCATACCCGAAACCCTATCCCAAGGCTCCTGTACCCTTTATCAACATGTAGTGAGATCCCAATGCCGAAGCCTTCCCCAGAATGCTGCTACAACTACTACTACTATTACTACTACTACTACTACTACTACTACTACTACTCCTACTCCTACTCCTGCTGCTGCTATGCTATTGTTGCTGCTACTGCTACAACTGAACAGGATTATACAGTACAAAGGTCTTGTAAAGACCTATATGTCGGCACCGTTCATATTCCCTGAAGTACTACTTTCAAAACCATGCAAAGAGACTGGAGTGATAGCTTCACAACTAGTAACTAGATCGGTGTGATGCAAGGCACTCATTCACTACACGCCTTCTTTACTCCGTCATCCCAAGTGAACTCTATGTTGGGGACAGAACGCTGGATACCCTCCATGCGGCAATGACTGAAGACTTGCTGCAGCTGTATCACGATGGAATCACAGTTGCTTGGCTTGGTGCTGCAAGTTTTGAATGGGAATGTCGGAGCTTTAGCTCTATTTACTATACCTGATCCATAACAGCTTAATCGCTACAGACCAGCCTCTATCTCGATCCTTATACGTTGAAGACATAAAATCTTAAGGTAGCAGGCCCTGATGGCAAGTCCTTCACCTTCAAGTTTGTGCCCATCGTTCTTAAGGGGGACTGGCCTTACCTCAGGAAGGCTGTGCACTTAGGCACTGGGTTCACGAGCAAGAGAAAGTGTCACCTTTGTGACACTACAGATACTTAGTTACCAATTGGTAATGTCTATAGCTTCAGCATAATTATAATTTCGACTAGCTAGTCTCCAAAACAGCGACCTAGGAGTGGTACGATATGACCAGTACAAGCACCACTCGATTGCTCCCGAACAACTATGTGCCGACAGACCCTTTCAAAACTTCATGCGCTCCATCCCCGCTGAGAAGTTTGCCCAGTTGCAACGGGCCAGAATGGGTCAAACCGGACCCTGCGCATACCTATGCAATAGTAGGGTGGGGGAAGGATTATGTGGCCTCGGCAATCATCCTTCTCATGCACTTCGGTGTCTTCGGCCTTGGCAACCATATTCAGGCGAAGCTGGATTTTGCATTTTTGCGATTGAAGGAGTGGTGTCGCAATCATCACAAGACGACTTCCCTTACCCATCTCTCGTTGAAAGTCTTCAAAGTCAGCTCGTAGCTGGTCGATCTTTCTAGTTTTCAAGTGGTACTTGGTAATCAGGTTGCTCGTCAGTAGCAATAATTGTCTAGGTCTTGTTGCCGAGGCTGAATCAGTTTCCGCGTGGATGTGGTAAAGGTCACGACACAGCAGTGCTGGCTGCTTGGATCCACTACGAGATCGAAGCAATTGATCCAGATGCCATCGATGTACCCTTGCTGCTATTCGGTATACGTATATAGTCTAGTTAACCCGATACCCCAAAATGATAATTGACCTTATAAGATACCCCCTGTAAAAAGATTAGGAGCAGTATGACGAGCTCTTTCAATTGCTGAAGTGGACATCGACCTCCCTGAACATCCATTGGAGAACTCTGTACTCTTGGGGTGTTTGGATTCCGCGAATTGATGCCGGCCGAGTCGCGGTCGAGAGCGGATTCAAGATGCTCGCAGCCAGGTGTCGTTTGGTCTCGTGGTCGTCATTTCTGTATGCATAATGGCCTATTTTAATCCCTAAGCTATACAATATATAAATATATACATTTATATCTAGGAGACTACACCCCTATAAGATATACATAATATTATATAATTACGTGCATATGCATATTGAACCGGTTTAGGGTCTAGGCTTTAGGGAAACCTACACACCACCACCTGAGCCAAGTCCCAACCCGAGGAAGGCTATGCATCGCTTGCTATGAAGTGTGCAAAGAAGAAGATGGCTTTGTTCTACATGAGACCGAAACACCACATGCAACTCCACTTGGTGAGCCTTGCCTTCTAGTCTAGCCTATACCACAAACGATTCTGCAAACCCCAAACCCTAAACCCTAAACCCTAAACCCTAAACCCTAAACCCTAAACCCTAAACCCTAAAACCTAAACCCATGACGAGAGTGCATTGATAGGATGCATAGCTGGGAAAAACTATAGCTATTGGGCCTGGCAACTTATAATTAAGGAAGGAGATGGCTTGGCAGGTTGATGCCGAACTTGACTGGATTTTAAATCCGGCTTGCTACCCGGTCATACATCGCATCAGTTCGGGTTTTTGTCGACCATATGGCTATATATATTTCTATTGAACATGGTTTTGCGCAATACATCCGTCCTAACAGGCTGGGCGTGTTGGAGCGATGAAGACTGGGTGGGGCGCTGTTCACGAATCAGTCGCCGAACGCATACAATGACAACTGCCACACGCACGATATCGAGGAGTCTCATGCTTTATCGGCGACACTTCATGCAGACCTTTGTGTGACAAGTCACGACAGTGCCAGCCAAGCAGCTTGAAAAGCCGTGCTGAATCGTGTGTGCATTGGATGTCTCGTGCGCTTTCTTGGGAGGGTCGTGCGCTTTTGTTGTAACCCGTGCGCTTTTCACATAATTATGCCTCTGCAAGGCACCGGTTCGCACACTTAATTTTGCGAGCGCAATTAAGTGTATCAAACGAGGGTCTAGGTATTATTACTACTACAATTATTAATGTTATTACACTTTCTAATGCTACTACTACTACTACTACTACTACTACTACTGCTACTGCTACTACTACTACTACTACTACTACTACTACTAGAGATAGATTCGTGCCACATACCCGGAACACTCCGAACACCAAGTAAACCCTGTGCACTACCTCCAAGTGAAAGCTGGCAACTGAGGGTTTAGGGGTTTAGGGTTTTTTTTGCTTAAGGGGCTTAGGGTTTGGGGGTTTAGGGCTTTAGGGTTTAAGGGCTCAGGCTTGGTGTTTTCACGTCTCAGAGTCTACCTATAGTCTCCACATTGTAGTTCCTTTCTGGGGTTACTTTGTGGAAACCCTTAAAGTACAAAGTCGGTTAAGCCAGAAGAAGGAACTACAATGGAGAATATAGGTAAGATGTTTTCCTGTTATTATGCCTAAACCCTAAACCCTAAACCCCAAACCCTAAACCCTAAACCCTTAAACCGTGGCTCCTCATGTCGCAACGGGGGCCGGAGGGGTCCTCGGGTTGTCTTGGCTCCGAGTTTGTTCCAAGCCTTGGTGGCTTACGGTTTAGGGTTTAGGGTTTAAAGGGTTTAAAGGGTTTAAAGGGTTTAAAGGGTTTAAAGGGTTTAAAGGGTTTAAAGGGTTTAGGGCGTGAGTCCCTTTACCAGTGGCTTAGGGTTAGTATAGGGGCCTTAGTAATTAGAATAGGCTTTGGGGTATACTATACTACAATTTTAATAAGGATCCCCCCAAAAAAAAGAAAAGGGTAATGATAAAGACCCCTATATTACCCTTATCCAACCCTGAACCCTAAACCGTGAACCCTAAACCCTACCTATACTGAACTTAGACCCCAGCAAAAATCATAATTTTAGCTGCTTCTTAGGGTTTATAGTAGCCAAAGTTTAAAAATTATCTCAGCAACAGACCCC